GTTTTGTCCTGATGAAAGCTCCATGTGGGAGCTGAAACGTTGACTTTTTAAATGGATTGAATAAAAGCTAAATTTTATTTGAAAATCTCTATAAAGTCCTTGGAGTGCGGTCATTTCTGCTATGTCTATATATATATATATATATATATATATTTGTAACAAAATACACTTAGAATGAAATTCTATATATATCTATCTATATATAAAATACAAATAACCGCAAATATATATATATATATATATATATATATATATATATATATATATATATATATATATATATATATATATTATATATATATATATATATATATATATTTTGTGTGTGCTGGCGTACATACCGCAGTCGCATCATTCCGGCTCCGGCATCAGTAAGCAGCGCAAAGGAGCTGAACAGGAGGATCAGTGCTCCCTCACCGCCTGCAGTGACCACTTGCCCAGCTGCCCCACTGGACTCCAGGGAAAGATGGAATCCCCTCAGCACTCCCAAAGGTAAGGAGGCTGGGAGATTAAATAAAAAATATATGTGTGTTTGTATGTGTGTGTGTGTGTGTGTGTGTTTGTATGTATGTATGTATGTGTGTGTTAGTTTGTATGTATGTGTGTGTGTGTGTTAGTGTGTGTGTGTGTGTGTGTGTTAGTTTGTATGTGCGTGTGTGTTAGTTTGTATGTATGTATGTATGTATGTGTGTGTGTGTGTGTTAGTTTGTATGTATGTATGTGCGTGTGTTAGTTTGTATGTATGTGCGTGTGTTAGTTTGTATGTATGTGCGTGTGTGTTAGTTTGTATGTATGTGTGTGTGTGTTAGTTTGTATGTATGTATGTGTGTGTTAGTTTGTATGTGTGTGTGTGTGTGTTGTAGTTTGTATGTGTGTGTGTGTGTGTGTTAGTTTGTATGTGTGTGTGTGTGTGTGTTAGTTTGTATGTGTGTGTGTGTGTGTGTTAGTTTGTATGTATGTGCGTGTGTTAGTTTGTATGTATGTGCGTGTGTGTTAGTTTGTATGTGTGTGTGTGTGTGTGTGTTAGTTTGTATATGTGTGTGTGTGTTAGTTTGTATGTATGTATGTATGTGTGTGTTAGTTTGTATGTGCGTGTGCGTTAGTTTTTGCGTGTGTGTTAGTGAGTGTCAGTGTGTTACTGTGTGTATCTGTTACTGAGTGTGTTAGTTTGTATGTGTCTGTTAGTGAGTCTGTTTGGTGTCTGTTAGTGAGTGTGTCTGTCAGCTAGTGTGTATGCGTCTGTTCGTGAGACTGTATGTGTGGTTAAAACCCCTTCAGCACCTACCGGGCTCCCTTGGCGCTGGGGATCTCTCCGCCCTGATCCGGCTCTCAGCTCATTACTCAATGTTTTCCTATGGACGTCCAGCATCTTCTCACTGTGTGATTTTCACAGTGAGAATCACTGAAGCGCCTCTAGCGGCAGTCAGTAAGACCGCTACTAGAGGCTGGATTAATCCTCAGTGAAACATAGCAGTTTCTCTGAAACTGCTATATTTTCAGCTGCAGGGTTAAAATTAGAGGGACCTGGCACCCAGACCACTTCATTGAGCTGAAGTGATCTGAGTGCCTATAGTGGTCCTTTAAGTGTATGTGTATCTGCATGCAATGGCGTACATACCGCGGTCGCAGGGGTTGCAGCCCTGCAACCAGGTGCCCACCGTCATGTGTTGCGGCCCCGGCCGGTGCAGAGTAAGCGCCGTGGGGGGGGGGGCCCACTGATCAATTTTCGCACCGGGGCCCCATGGATCGTGTGGTCAGTGTGTGTGTGTGTGTGTGTATATATATATATATATATAATATATATATACTGAACAAAATTATAAACTCAACACTTTTGCCCCCATTTTTCATGAGCTGAACTCAAAGATCTAAGACTTTATCTATGTACACAAAAGGCCTATTTCTCTCAAATATTGTTCACAAATCTGTCTAAATCTGTGTTAGTGAGCACTTCTCCTTTGCCGAGATAATCCATCCACCTCATGGGTGTGGCATATCAAGTTGCTGATTAGACGGCATGATAATTGCAAAGGTGTGCCTTAGGCTGCCTACAGTAAAAGGCCACTCTAAAATGTGCAGTTTTATCACACAGCACAATGCCACAGATGTTGCAAGTTTTGAGGGAGCGTGCAATTGGCATGCTGACTGCAGGAAAGTCCACCAGAGCTGTTGCCCGTGAATTGAATGTTCATTTCTCTACCATAAGCAATCTCCAAAGGCGTTTCAGAGAATTTGGCAGTACATCCAACCAGCCTTACAACCGCAGACCATGTGTAACCAGGACCTCCACATCCAGCATCTTCACCTCCAAAATCATCTGAGACCAGCTACCCAGACAGCTGTTGGAACAATTGGTTTGCATAACCAAAGAATTTCTGCACAAACTGTCAGAAACCGTCTCAGGGAAGCTCATCTGCATGAGATACCATGATGAGATCATGAGGCCCATTGTTGTGCCATTCATGCACGACCATCACCTTATGTTGCAGCATGATAATGTACGGCCCCATGTTGCAAGGATCTGTACACAATTTCTGGAAGCTGAAAACATCCCAGATCTTGCATGGCCAGCATATTCACCGGACATGTCACCCATTGAGCATGTTTGGGATTCTCTGGATCGGCGTGTACGACAGCGTGTTCCAGGTTCTGCAAATATCCAGCAACTTCGACCAGCCATTGAAGAATGGCGGACCAACATTCCACAGGCCACAATCAACAACCTGATCAACTCTATGTGAAGGAAATGTGCTGACCAGCGTGAGGCAAATGGTGGTCACACCAGATATTGACTGGTTTTCGGACGCCCCTAAGCCCTTATGACGCCCCCCGTACAGTAAAGCTGCACATTTTAGAGTGGCCTTTTATTATAGCCAGCCTAAGGCACACCAATAACCATGCTGTCTAATCAGCATCTTGATATGCCACACCTGTGAGGTGGATGGATTATGTCGGCAAAGGAGAAGTTCTCACTAACACAGATTTAGACAGATTTGTGAACAATATTTGAGAGAAATAGACCTTTTCTGTACATTGAAAAAGTCTTTGAGTTCAGCTCATGAAAAATGGGGGCAAAAACAAAAGTGTTGCATTTATAATTTTGTTCAGGGTTTACACACACACACACATACACACATACACACACACATACACACATACATACATACACACACACATACACACACACACACATACACACACACACACACATACACACACACATACACACACACACATACACACACACATACATACACACACATACACACACACATACATACACACATACATACACACATACATACACACATACATACACACATACACACACATACATACACATACATACACACATACATACACACATACATACACACATACATACACACATACATACACACATATATATATGATGTGTGTGTGTATATATAATTAATAAAAACTAAAATTTTAAAATAAAAAAAACAAATATATAATTCCTGTCTAACTGTATTTTGATACTAATATTTAAATGAATATATAAACCTGAAAATCCATAGAAATAATAATAAATAATAAATGTAGCAAATATAAAGATTCTGATAGATGAGTCTGATCATTATAAGTGACTAACTGTTATTAAAGATATTGGTAGAAGAATCCAATTGAAACTAAAGTTCAAGTTGCTAAGTTAATCACAATGTTACTTAACAATCAACTGTAGATATATAATCCTAGTTAAAAAAAAGTCTTATCTATGACCAGAAATGTTATATTAGTGTGTTGGTATATTTTGAACCGAACATCAGATATAGCACTTAGATAAATATCGGTTTAATCAGAATCATAGCATTAAATAGCGCCATCTAGAGTCTTAGACTATATGGCTGGGTATTTGTCTTTTTATCAATGGAGAAAATACTTGGTGTCTGAATCAAAACAATAATGTATGAGAGTCAGACTAATAGAGAAAAAATAGAGAAAGCAGAAAAAATAATAGTAATAATGCAAAATGAATAATAAAGAAATATAATACGTGTCTGTTAGTCCACCCATTGTACAGCACTACGGAATTTGCTGGCACTATATAAATAATAATTTTTAAACAATAGAAAATAATGAAAAAAAAAAAAATATGAGTGATGCAATGAGATGCATGACAGACCTGAGTGTGTAATGTGGGGGTATGGATGGTTTTGATGAAACAAAATGATAACTATAAACTAAACTGTATGGCACCCTAAAATGGTGCCATCAAGTATTAAATAAACTTATATATGTATAGTGAGCAGTTAGTATTCAAACAAAATAATAATCAAGGGATAAGTGCATGTCCACCGATGATATTTGAAAAAAATAAGTAATAATATGAAAATATGTGTATATGATGATCTAAACATTAGTGATCAAGTAATAAAGGCAGTATAGTTGAATTCTTTGAGTCCAAGATGACTTTGCATTTTAAAGGTAAAGATCCATCTCAATTTTTGCTGTAATAATTTGGGGTTGATGTCACCCCTTCTTACCTTTTCAATGGCTTGAAAGGATAGACATGACGTTTGTCCGTTGTGGATATGTCTAGTTATAGGTGTGTCAATGCCAGCATTGATCGTATAAATATGCTGTAGGATTCTTCAGGGCAGTTATTGTGTGGTTTTTCAGTGTATTGAATCCCATATATGCAGTTCACCAGATATACCATATTTGATGAAGAACAAATAATGAAGGATCTTAGTTTGTAGATTTGATGTGTCACAAAAGATTTGATGATTTTTGTCAGTGTGATATACATTTACAGGCTTTACGATGACCACATCAGAAAATCCCTTTACTGGGTGTAAGGCATGTTGGTTGTTGTGATGGTTGGAATAAGTGACAGTGTACCAGGATGTCATTCAGGTTCGGGGCTCTCTTAGCTGTCATTGTTGATCTCTCTATGATTATTTTATTTGTGATGTTATCACTTTGCAGTATTGGCCAAAATTTGTTAAATTATGTCCCTCACTGGTTCCCACCCTGTATTACATCTTGTGATTCTTCTCACAGTTTGATTTGGCCCCTATCACAGGGGTTGAGAGATGGTAATTGTCCACATTTTTAGCATGATTAAAGGCCCATTTCAAAAGCCTCTTTGGATAGCCCTTCTGTAGGACGAAGGACTTGAGGATATTTGCTTCCATGATAAAGTCATCATCGTTAGTGCTGTTCCTATGGGCTCTTAAATATTGCCCATAGAGAATGCCTGTCTTGAGTGGTTCTGGGTGATGGCTGTGCCAGTTCAAGAAACTGTAGGTTGCTGTGGGTTTTCTGTATAGTTTGGTTATGAGTTTAAATTCTGAATTAATGTGTACTGTAAAATCTAAGAATTCTATAGATTTAGCCCCCCAAAACATTGTTAATTGTACACTAATTTTGTTCTGGTTTAGGGAGGTTACCCATGCCTTCCCACAAGCAGATGACATCATCTGCGTAACGATACCAAGTTTTGATGTTCGTCTCAAATATTGGTTGATGATGAATTGAGCGTTGTTTCCACCATGCCAGGTACAGATTGGCCTAAGTCTGAGCACAGCATATGCTCATGGAAGTTCCATGGATTTGTAGATCGATATTCCTGTTAACCATGTAATATAGTTGTGTTTGAGAATGAAGGTCAACAACTTAATGATGAAAGTACTCAATTCAGTACTGTATAGTTTAGATTACATTATTAAGGCATTACAAGCTTTAAAGCCCACCTCGTGGGGAATATTGGAATACAGGGACACTATGTCCAGACTTGCTAGGTGGGAAATGGATGTGCAAGTTATCTGTGAGTTTCTCAATAGCTGATCCAGTGTCCTGTATAAACAAGGGTGTTTTTACTATGAGGGGATGTAAGATTTTGTCCACAAAAGTGCTGCAATTTTCCATTAATGACCCTTTTCCCGAGAGGATCGGATGTCCAGGGATGTTATATAAGTTTTTTTTTTTTTTTTTTATTAATTTTTTGGGAGGCAGTACATAGTGGCCATTTCTTTGCATACTAATTTGTGGGAAAATTCACTCAGGGAAGTGATGAATGTACTTTTAACTTTTAACTTTTAAATCAGTTCTTGGTTCAGGGGTATCTTGTTTGTCAAGTAGGGATATCAAATTAAGCAAGTGTTGGTAGTCAATTGGATCATAGCCTAGATTTATGGTTTCTCTATATTTTTTTATATATATATATATTTTTTTTTTTTTTTTAAATAGTTAAGCATAATATATATCCGTGAATCCCAGATCCCATAATTATTCTAAAAAAAAACATATTGCGCATATTCTAAATTTTGTTTTGGTTAAGAAGCTGGACAATTGCCTCTTAAAAAAGAATTACCTCCAACCAGTAAAATCCCATCAAGCTTTTGTTTTCTTGTTTACAAATGTCTGTAATGAACATTATATTTCAGCTGAATGGCTCTTTGAATGATTAACTTAACCTTTAATACTCACTACGGCTACAGCTTCAGAGGCCAAAATTTCATCTGCAGTCAGGATGGTGTAATAGGAGACATTTGCAAGAAGGTAACATATGGTGATAAGAATCAGAGAAACTATTACTGTTATCGGGATATTCCTAGAAAAAAGAAAAAGAATACACATCCTTTATAACTGTTCCTAAAACAGTTTAGAAAATGTTATGTTTCTCTATCACTTTCTTCATTTATTTCTAGTACATTTCAATTTCTAGTTCAGCTCAATTTAATTTGTAGTAACCAAAAATGTGCTGCATACTTTAAAAAAAAAAAACAATTTAGTTTTAAGTAGAATAAACTTAAATAAAAGTTTAGTCATACAGAATCATATGCACAATTCTTAACCAGATTTGACTATATACACATGAATAGGTGGCATTGCATTTTTTTTTCCATCTTATAGTCTTCTAAGTACTGCAAGTTAAAAAGATGTCACAATATATTTAACTCTGCAATAATTGTTGTAACTGGGACTTTTTTTATTCTTAATTTTTCTATTTGTTTTTAATGATAAACCAATGTTTCATGAATAAGCCCGTTTTAACAAATTAATTTAGCTGCAGTTCTAAATAGAATTTTACAGAATCCATAACATCACATCCAAGAATGAACAATAGTGGGTAGCGATCAACCTAACCTTTGGCTGAATTTATTACATATTGACCAAAGCATAGCAGAATTCACTTGTGTGAATTTCACATTTTATTTTCATAAAATATGAAATCCCAAAAATGTTATACTTTAGCTAATGTGAACAACAAACTCCATTAATAATGACCATATTCCAACCTTAATGGCAATTCTAATATTTACTAAAACCAAGTATGTTCAGAATTTGATCAACCTGAGCAAATCTGCAACAAACTCCTGGATGCCTTTGGAATCAGGGTTAAAATTGATGCTCACGCATGTGACTATTATACAAAGTATAGGATCTGGAAGATTCACCAAGCACCAATTTTAAACTGAATGGGGTCTGAATGCATCCAACAAGATGCACACGTGGCAAATCATGTTTCTATTCCCCATATTTTCCTACAAAATACTTTTTCACTACCCCTGGCTTTCATCACATATGTGTCCATGCTAAACACCTGAGAGCGCCTCTCCCCAGTAGTGAGACCTATCCACAATTCTCTTGAACTCCGGTCTGGCCACGCCTAATCATTTTGCCTGGCCAACCTCCATCTCAGTTTTCCCCCACTTCCTGACCAGCCAGGAGAGAGCTAATTGGGGAGGAGGTACAAGAGACTACGAAGAACAATCAGTCCCTGAAAGCTAGGGGGAGCACCCCCTTTTCAGTCCACACAAGCTCCAGATATTTGACCGGTCAAAGCCACATTAGCTATAGAACTCTTTTCGGCATGAACTGTGCTAGAGGCCAATATGACGGTAGTCACCATCACTGGGGATGGAAGACATACTACGTGTGGGTCTCCAGATTCCTCTTGTGTTTTGGTCACCCTGTGCCAGGGCCGGACTGGGAAAAAAATTAGGCCCGGGCATTTTTCAATCAGAGCGGCCCCCTAAGAAGGGGGCGGTGCCAGAGAGTGTGTGTTTTGTCATCACTAATGACAACACGCCCCCTCTCAAAGTGAGCATGTTGGTTCAATGCCCAGAGCCCTGCTGAAGAGCTCTGGCATTAGAAAAAGGCCCTGAATTTATTCTGCACAGCTCAAGCAAATTTAATAACATGCTTGCGCTGTGTTTGCTTTTAAATTGTCTCTGGTGTCTCCACAAGTGGGATACCAGAGGACAAATGGGCCAGGAAAGTGCATGGTGCATATGTTTGGAGCCTGCTTGTGGGATTGCGTGTGTGTAGAGTGTGGTGTGGTATTGTGTAAATAGGTCAATTTAATTTGTGTTTGTGGTGTAATATGTGTGGCTAGGGGCTGTAGAGAGTGTGTGTATAGGGGGCATAGTTTTATAGGGGATGCAGCGAGTGTGTGCATACGGGCTGAAGTGTGTGTGTGTATAGGTGACATAGTGTGTGTAGGGGTTGCAGAGAGGGTGTGTTTAGAGAATGTTGTATGTGTTTGCTGACAAGGAATGTAGTGTGTGTGTGTAGGAGATCTACTGTGTAAAGGACCCAGTGTGTGTGTGTGTGTGTGTGTGTGTATAGAGGATAAAGAGTGCATATAGAGTAAGTGATCTAGTGTGTATCTGGAGCGTAATGTGTGTAGTGGTGCAGTGTGAGGGGTGCTGTAGTGTGTGTGTATGTGTGTATGTGTGTATGTATATATGTATATATGTGTATATGTGTATATATGTATGTATATGTATATATATATATATATATATATATATTTGGACTTATTGTATGTGTGAGGGGCGTAGTGTGTGAGGGTGTTTTTATCTGCTGTCACATTCTAGGTTTCTAATTTTCTTTGTCTGTTAACTCACTGAGGGTTATTTTATATATATATATATATGTGTGTGCTGTATATGTGTGGGAGTGTGCTGTGTGTGTGTGTGTGTGTGGGGGGTGCTGTGTGTGTCTGTGGGGTGCTGTGTGTCTGGGTGTGCTGTGTCTGGGGGGTGCTTTGTGTGCTGGGGGGCTGTGTCTGGGGGTGCTTTGTGTCTGGGGGGCTGTGTCTGGGGGGGTGCTGTGTCTGGGGGGGTGCTGTGTCTGGGTGCTGTGTGTGTGAGTGAATGTATTTTTTTATTTAAATTTAAATATTTTTTTTTACTAATAAAAAATAAAAAAAATAATTATTATTATTTCCCCCCCTCCCTTCTTACCTTTATCCTGGGAGGGGGGGGGAGGAGATCCGTTCTGCCATCCTTCCCTGGTGGCCCAGTGGTGAGAGTGAACTCTAACCTGCAGGCTAGAGTTCACTCTCGCGAGATCTGAGCGTTGCCATGGCAACGCTCAGAATCCCGCGAGAGGAACCGGCGGAGCTGCTTGTTAGAGCACCGCCGGGTCCTCTCTCCTCCCTCCCTCCCCCACCCAGCCTGCGGCCGCATTTCCATGCCTCTGGGCCGGTGAGGGAGATCTGTGATCTCCCCACCGGCCCACGGAGGCACATAGCAGGGCCGGCGCTCGGGTAGCGCTGGCCCTGCAGGGGCCGGCCGGGGAGATCCCCTGCCGGCTCGGCCCCACGGCCACGGCCATCGCGGCCCACCGGGCATTTGCCCGGTGTGCCCGATGGCCAGTCCGGGCCTGCCCTGTGCCCAGTATCGGAGCAGGGTATGTTGAATGTATTGATTGTCTGTGCCTTTCCCCCTCCCCCCTTTTTTTTGTTCTATGGTTTCCCCAGCTGGGCTATTGTGCGAAGGACACTTCCAGACCACTTTAAACTAGCTGTCCTTTCCTTCCTCAATCTCCCAGCAGCATTTGCTTTTGTCTGGCCCCACCCTTCTAAGTACTATAGTGCTCTATTCACCCAAGTGTATGTAAATGAGGCTGTTGGGGGCATAAATATGTGTGCTATGTATATTAAAGTTTTTATGTAAGCGAACATTAATTTTCAATAATAATAAGTGCTGCCATTGGGTAAATGGCAAATAACACTCGGCAAAGCAAGGATTAATTATGTGGCAAGTGGCCAGCGCTTGGTAGCCAGCCACCATACAAAAAAGTGAATACATAAAAAGACTATTACAATACACCCATTACAATAAGGTAGGTTTAGCACCTCCCTATGCCCTCATCTGCCATACTACGTGTCTAAAACAAGTGAATGGGCAGTGGGGGGAAACATAAAAAAAAAAAAAAGGCTGGACAGATCCCTGGTGGGGAATATTATAATATTCAGGGAGAAGACAAGAGCCCACCTTGGCCTTAAATACAGTCTCAAATATTATTTCAAGCCTCAGCAGGGAGCAAGGCTGTATATCTGGAAAAAAAGTATAATGAGATATAGTCTCAATGGTTCTCCATTAAAGCTCATATTTGCAATGTGAATTTAGTCCTTCATTTTTGCTTAAACTGAATAAATAAATTAAACTTTTGTCACCCAATCACACCCACCATAGTGGCTATTCAATTGAGCGAAATAAATGGACTCCCTAAAGCAATTTTGCTTGCTAAAAAGCATTGTGTGAAGAGTGTGTTCTATTTTTAATTTTGCAAAAAGTGCAGATTTCAATATAATTTTACACTTTTATAAACTAACCTTGTTACACCCCCATTGACTTTCAAGCAGACAACAGGTCATTTTACTTCCTGGTATGGCTAGCTCAGTGGAGCTAAATTTAAGAAGCAGCAATTGCTCAGAGCACCTGCCTTGCAAAGACTTGCATTTGGGAAGTTTGTGATTTGCCAGCCACAGAAAGTCTGGGTGGGATTAGAAGAAGAATGTTGCAAAGGCAGCAGACAAGAGAACTGCACCTCCTGCAAGTTGTTTTTAGATATACAGTCAATTTAAAAAAAATGCATAATTAAATGCATGTATGTTTTCATTTGGGGGATATCTAATAAATAGTGACTTTATTTTGTGTCTGGGCAGTGGAGTGTCCCTTTGTATTTTATATATGTAAGCATAATTTTTATAGTTTAAAAACTTTCATTAAAAAATTATACATCTTAAATACCCTATGGAGCATGATCTTAAAAGAACGAGCGGTATTAGTTGGTTGTGATGTTTGGAGCAACCCTCAAGTTGTTATGTTTTATTTTAATCTGTGGGGTCTAGTGCCTCAAAAAGGATAGTTATTAATTCAACTGACCATGGCTGCTAAAGTTGCAATTTCTAGATATTGGTTAAAACAAGAGATTCCTTTTTGGGCATACATATTAAATCAACTTAAATACCAATATTCCATGGAAAATGGTATATGTTATGAGAACAATGACTGGTATGAGAAAAGATGCCAACCTTAGCTGGGCTCCTTGATTTAAAACTGAAATTTTGCTTTTTAAAAACAACTTAAACAATATGCTCAGATTATGGTTCTATAAGAACATACAATAATCCTTTGCCTAGCCGCACTTTTCCAAATTCTAGTTACTAACCATTCCTTATTTCTAATAATATTTCCCAGTTGGCCAGTGACCCGTTCTGCTTGTATGTATTTGTAGTTGTCGATGTATGTAACTGAAAGTATTTAAGATGAATTATGTAAACTGATTCCAACAGTCCTCTGAATGTTATTACTGTCTAATAATTGAAATGTGTACATTTTATAAAGATGAAAATGCAATAAATAAATATATGAAAAGAAAATACCCCAATGTGGCGGATCACCAAAGAATCACCACCAGAGATTCCTTTTCCCTCAGTGTTCATAGCTCTCCAGAGTAGCTTCAGTGAATATGAATTGATGCTCCTATACCCAGAGTGGAACCTCCGCTGCTGCCTGTTTAAATACACGAACCCCAGCATAGGGTCTCTATTCAATACAACAGCAAGCCTCCCAGGCATCTCTGTGTCTGAGAGATAAGTGAGTTTGCTTTTGCTAAAACTAATTATCTCCCAGGCACTCGAGGTACAATACATAACCAGGGCCACCATCAGGGCATGACAACCATAACGGTTGTCATGGGCCCGGCGGTCCTAGGGGGCCTGCACTACTCTGGCAGTCCGAGCCCCACATTCCTTATGTGCACATATATATAGCGATGTTCGCTATATATCTGTGCACTGAGGGCCCCCTGCTACCTGTACATTGCAGAGGGGGGCCCAGCAGCACACTCTTTTCCAGCTGCTCTCTGTCTGGGTTACCCATGGCAACACTCCGTACAGCACGCAGGCCGGTCTCGTGAAAGGAAGACAGTGTGCTGCTCGGCCCCCCTCTGCAATGTACTGTGGCTGGCTCCCTCCACCATGCCACTGGACCACCAGGGAATGCGATCTCCCCCCTCCCTGGCAAGGTAAGAAACAAGGAGGGGGGAATAAAATTTAAATACACACTGATAAATTTAAAAAAAAAATAGTCCCCTCCCCACTACACACTACATTCATTAAGCACACACTACATTTACTACACACACACACACTACATTCACTATACACACGTTGCACTCACTCCAAACACACTACATTTACTAAACACACTTTGCACTCACTACAAACACTGCATTCAATATACACACACACTCTGCATTCACCACAATCACACTGCATTCGCTATACACATACTCTGCATTCACCACAATCACACTACATTCAATATACACATTTTGCATTCACTACAATCACTATACATACTTTGCACTCGCTGCAAACACACTACATTCACTATGCACATTTTGCATTCACCACAATCACACTACATGCACTATACACACTTTGCACTCACTACAAACACACTATATTCATTACAAACACACTACATGCACTATATACACTACATCCACTACAAAAACACACACTTTGCATTCACTGTACACACACTACATCCACTACAAAAACACACACACTGAATTCACTGTACACACACTACATCCACTACACAAACATACACTCTGCATTCACTATACACCTACATTCACGACACACACACTCTGCATCTAATGTATGCATACAAACATTACATACATTACACAAAACGTACAATCTGCATCCACAATACACACTGCATCCATGACACACATACCACATCCACTACTCACATTCTATATCCACTATACACACTGCATCCAGGACACACGTACCACATCCACTACACACATTCTACATCCACTATACACACTGCATCTATGACACACATACCACATCCACTACACACATTCTACATCCACTATACACACTGCATCCATGACACACATTCTACATCCACTATACACACACACACACACTTCATCCCTGTGGGCGGACTCGGGGCTTGCTCCAGGGGCCCAGATATTGAGCTGTGTCAGGGGCCCTAAAATTTCTGATGGCAGCCTTGTACATAACAACATAGATGCCTCCATGTTTGAACTGATATGTTTGCATATTTTTAACCCCAGATATGAGTGCCCATGTTGTCCAAATAGTGCTCAAATCCATGTAGTATAGCCAAATCGCAACCGGGGTAAAGTTTTGAATGACCACACACGTGGCTGCTGCTCAAAATAGTTCCAGGAGAAAAGAGGCAGTGGCCGGTCAACTTTTGGGAGTTCCAATGCGAGCCTCCCCCTGGCTCATGGGCAGTAAATGTTCCCCTCATTTGGGAGTGTCTTTTCCCCAAAAAGTGGCTTGTCTGTGAGAGGAGAAGGCAATAGTAAAATTTTCCCAGGGTTTGAGGTAAAGTATTTTTAAAAAAGCTGCAAATCTGGGTAACACTTTAATTATTGGAGATTTTAATTACCCAGGCATAAATTGGGACAGAGGGACTAGTAGTTCAGCAAAGGGAATTAGGTTTTTAAACTTGTTAAATGACACCTTCATGTCACAACTTGTACAAGCACCAACTAGAATAGATGCTTGTCTGGACCTGGTTTTAACAAACAACGTTGATCTTTTGACCAACAGTCAAGTAGGTGAGCACTTGGGAAATAGTGATCACAATATAGTGTACTGTGAAATAAACGCAAAAAAACAAAAGCACATGGGGTATACTAAAACATATAATTTTAAAAAAGCCAATTTCAGTAAGTTAAGGGCAGCTTTACAATATATTGACTAGCATAAACTCTTTAGTGAAAAAACCACTGAGGATAGATGGCTCATCTTCCAACAAATATTAGAAAGGTACATTTCTCAGTATGTACCATTGGGAAATAAATATAAAATAAACAAATTAAAACCAATGTGTCTTAGTAGAGAAGTAAAACAAGAGATTAAAAATAAGAAAAGGGCATTTAAAGCATTTAAATCGGACAAATCAGAAGCATCTTATAAAAGATATAAGGAGGCAAATAATGCGTACAAAAATGCAATTAGATTATCTAAACTTCAAAATGATAACTAAAGAGAGCAAAACCAACCCCAAAGCATTTAAGTACATAAATTCTAAAAAAAACAAAAATGAAAGTGTAGGTACACTAAAAACTGATACGGGTGTTAGTTAATGAAGACCAGGAAAAGGCAGGAATTTTAAATAACTATTTCTCCGCCGTATATATTAAGGAAGAACCCATGGCAATAGATGTGCAAATGATTGCTACTAAAAACTTGCAGAATAATTGTAATTGGTTAACTCAATACAAGGTGCTGCAGCAACTAAAGAAAGTTAATATAAACAAAGCTCCAGGGCCTGACGGTATCCATCCATGAGTACTTAAGGAACTAAGTTTAGAAATAAGTGGACCTCTGTTTTTAATCTTTCAAGATTCTTTTCTTTCAGGAAGTGTTCCGGAGGATTGGAGGAAGGCAGATGTGGTTCCTATATTCAAAAAGGGTTCAAAATCCTTGCCTGGAAATTATAAACCTGTGAGCTTAACTTCTGTGGCTGGGAAAATATTTGAAAGGTAATTAAGGGATAATATTCAAGAATTCCTTGAGAAGAACATGGTTATCAGCAAAAATCAGCCGGTTTTATGAAGCACAGGTCATGTCAAACTAACTTGATCGCATTCTACGAAGAAGTAAGTAGAAGTATAGATCAGTGTATTGCAGTGGATGTGATCTATTTGGATTTTGCCAACACATTTGATACAGTTCCACACAATAGATTAGTGTTCAAACTCAAGGAAATCGGTCTAGATGAAAATGCTTGTTCTTGGGTAGAACATTGGCTTAAAAACAGAATACAAAGAGTTGTCATTAATGGTAAATTTTCAAGCTGGACAGAAGTGGCAAGTCGTGTCCCTCAGTGGTCTGTTCTGGGACCCCTTCTATTTAACATGTTTATAAATGATCTTGAAGACAGCATTGAAAGTCATGTTTCAGTGTTTTTTCAGATGACACAAAACTTTGTAAAATAATACAACGTGAGCAAGATATTACTTTCTGCAGAGGGATTTAGATAGATTGGGGGACTGGGCACTCAAATAGCAGATGAAATTTAATGTTGAAAAATGCAAAGTTATGCACTTCGGCGTAAAGAATACATAAGCAACGGATACCCTTAATGGAAGCGAATTAGGGATAACAACACACGAAAAGGACTTGGGAATTGGTATAGACAACAAACTATGCATCAATGTGCAATGTCAATCAGCAGTGGCCAAGACTAGTAAGGTATTGTCATGCATGAAAAAAGGCATTCATTCTCGGGACAAGAATATCATCATTTTGCCTCTTTATAAATCACTGATAAGACCACATATTGAATATGCTGTGCAATTTTGGGCACCTGTTCTAAAGAAGGATAAGATGGCACTAGAAAAAGTTCAGAGGCGGGCTACAAAATTAATAAAAGGAATGGAACATATCAGCTATGAAGAAAGGTTAACAAATTTAAACCTATTCAGTTTAGAAAAACATCGCCCGAGAGGGGATATGATAACATTATACAAATATATTCGGGGGCCAATACAAACCATTGTGTGGAAATCTATTCACAAACCGGACTTTACATAGGACACGAGGTCATGCGTTTAGACTGGAAGAAAGTAGATTTCATCTAAGGCAAAGGAAAGGTTTTTTTTTACTGTAAGAACAATAAGGATGTGGAATTCTCTGCCTGAAGAAGTGGTTTTATCAGAGTCCATACAGATGTTCACACAGCTACTAGATGCATACTTGCAAAAACAGAATATTCAAGGATATAATCTTTCAATGTAGGGTAATAACTGCTTGATCCAAGGATAAATCTGACTGCCATTCTGTGGTCAAGAAGGAATTTTTTTTCCTAGCTTGTTGCAAAATTGGAAGTTCTTCAAACTGGGTTTTTTGCCTTCTTTTGGATCAACAGCAAAAACTAATGTGAGGAAGGCTGAACTTGATGGACGTAAGTCTCTTTTCAGCTATGTAACTATGTATTCTGTATATATAGTTCCACGCACTTGATGACCAAGTACTGCTGCCTGCATTTGGGAGACAAAACGGTCGCCATTTACAAAAGCACGTGTTTTCGGCTATACGAATGGCGGCCGCTCAGAGAGAGCACTTGAATTAATTTTCTTTAAAGTTAACGAGTCAGGCAGGGCTGACATCAGCAAATTTTGGGGCCCCTGACAGTATTGGATATAATCTCCAAAAGAACCGGCTGAGTCCCTCCAAATAATAATGACATCTATATACCTCTGCCCAGACCAAACAAAAAGATGTTGGCATAGCTGGGGGCAAACTTGGTTCCAATGGTGCTCCCCGTGATGGTAAAATTTACCATCAAAGAAGAAAAAAAATTATGTTCCAAAATAAATTGTATTGCCCTTAAAATTAAATCTTTAAGAGATTCTTCTGTCACCCAAAATCTGGAAAGGTGCACACAATTAAACACTGGATTACGTGCAAGACCACACATGTTGTGTATAGAATTATATGCCCCTGTGATCTCACTTACGTGGGCAAGACATCTAATGACCTAAGGGAACGCATGCGGGGTCACAGGTCTACTATACGTTCAGCACTACTGAGCGGCACTGCGAGCACTCCAGTCGCCCAGCATTTCCTTGAGATGGGACATAGCCTGTCCTCACTTCGCTTTATGGGAATAGATCACATACCCATCTCACCCAGAGGAGATCATCGTGATAACCTGTTACTCAGACGTGAGGCTTTTTGGATATACACATTGGAAACATTATCACCATCTGGTTTAAATGAGAAGTAATTATATTGTTTTTTACCTAGAAGATAATATATGATTGAGCTATGTTTTACAGAATGCATTAATATAGTACAGTTATTTGCCGTAACTCCATGATGGAAGTAGTCCATATCGTATAATGCTTCAAAATTGCACTGACCATATTTTGCTAGGGTTAAAACATTTGTATATACTTTATTTTTATAGTTATTTATCCTTTTATTACTTTCTGACTTATCTACACGAGAGTATGTTTCACATACCAGTTACACAGAGGGTTAACTTCAATTTATTACGTAATTCAAACATGTTTACATCATTAATGACATCACTCTGATCCGTTGTTACATTTCACCTGTTCACTTCCAAATAGGATCACTGCATTTTTTGTATATAAGGTATCCATTTCACATACACAATTGTCTTGAAAAAAGTATTTTACAGACTGAAACAAACGTTGACTGGAACGTTGTATGAATTTGTAATTGCTCATTAAAACAACAAATTAAATTTACCTTCAAAGACTCCTGAGTGCTCTCTACTGGTATTATATATATATATGTATATGTATATGTATATGTATATGTATATGTGTATATATATATATATATATATGTATGTATGTGTAATGTGTAACTTCTAAGTGTATTTTAATACTAATATATGTACTTATATTAATATTAAAATACACTACATATGACGTTACCTATATATAAAATGTATATGTGTGTATGTGTGTGTGTGTGTGTGTGTGTGTGTGTATATATATATATATATATATATATAAAATCAGACTGTACCTTGCACACAGGCTCCTGTAATTTCCAAAACCGGGTGCATAGCCTGGGCTTCAATATCAATATAAGCAAATAGAATGGCTGCACTCACGGATTTCCAATAAAAAATAACTTTTATTCAGATTCCATAATTATGGAATCTGAATAAGTTATTTTTTATTGGAAATCCGTGAGTGCAGCCATTCTACTTGTGTATATATATATACATATATATATATATGTATGTGTGTGTGTGTATATATATATATATATATATATATACACATTTTATTTTAACAATATTTTTTTTTTACACTACCCACCAACTGGGGGACTGTCTGACAGCCCAGACAGTACCTCTGCTGGCAGATCCACAGCTAGCTATAGGGGGCCATGTGATTGCTCTTTGTCAGGCAGTCCTCCCGAAGAGTTGTAAGTTGTAAGCCACCACAACAGCTTTAAAGCTCATTATAATGGGGACGACAGAACGCCGTAACGGCGTTAAAGGACCACTATAGTGCCATGAAAACAAACTCAAACAAAGTTTCCTGGCTCTGTAGGGTCTTTGGGTCCCCCCACCCTCAGTGTCCTCCCCCACAGTCTGGGTCCCCATGCGCCGAATGCGCATGTGCGGCAAGAGCCGCACGTGCATTCAATCAGTCCATAGGAAAGCATTTCTCAATGCTTTCCTATGGATGCTGGCGTCTTCTAAATGTGATTTTCACAGTGAGAAGAGCGGAAGTGCCTCTCGTGGCTGTCAATGAAACAGCCACTAGAGGCTGGATTAACCCTATTGTAAACATAGAAGTTTCTCTAAAACTGCTATGTTTACAGTTGCAGGGTTAACCCCAGATGGACCTGGCACCTAGACCACTTCATTGAGCTGAAGTGGTCTGGGTGCCTATAGTGGTCCTTTGAGGGGTTATGATTTATATAACTTGACATTCAATCATGTTTCCATATGAGTGTGATTGGGGGCCCTGGTTAACAAAACATCAGGTCATTCTATTTGTTCATTTTTTGGATTATATAGGTGTACACATTGTTTTTAAATATGTTATGCTGTCCTCCTCTTTTGAATATATATTCATTATAGCTGTTTAGTAATATCCCTGTAGCTAATAGAACATTTTCCTCTTTACACTGAGTGGCAGGCATTTCATAGTGATGCTGGAACGCAACAAGCCGAAATTGTGCAATCAAGAGATCGCAGAAATAATCCATCATCGGTGAAACGCATTCAAGATGGCGGTGGAACACATCAGTGTTAAGTGAAAGGAATTATATTTCATATTATGAACAGCTGAAATTGGAAGGGGGAGTTCAGGAAGACAGCTAGAGTGGAGGAATTTCATCCAATGAAGTAAAGAATATGAAAAAACACTCACTGGGCCACCAGTGGACTTTGGGGGTTAGCGCTATATAAGGACAGGGGAGGGTAAGGTTTGTTATGCTTTTTTTCATGGCACTTTTGCACTTTGATTTTACTGTATTATGACCCTGAAGAAGTCCACTTAGGTGGAAGAAATGTGTTGGACTTATTTTTACTCTTTAATTTTGTTTGTTTTTTTTTCTGTACAATAAACACAAGTTCTTTTACTAAAGCAACCTCTTACTGCTGAGCCCCGGGATGTACCGCTGGTGTGAAGGAGACAAGGTAGGTTTTAGCTCACCCAGCATGAATCAGGGGAGGCACCCAAGGCACACACCTTTATAACATATTGTGAGTGTACATCTACAGCACACAATGAATTTATGCTTTGACGTACTTTACCATGTGCTGTCTGTTTATCCCTACTTTAGATGCACAGCTGTATCTACAATCTATTTATTTATCCATTTTGCTGTTAAGAGGGGTGGTCAAGTGGGAAACCACCTGGCAAGCTGCATCAGTTATATAAAAGCTAAGTACTACTGTGTGTGGTGTGTGTCGCATACTTGGTTTGGGGGACACAGAGGTGGGATACACACTAAAAGTAATTTTTGTTATTGTATATTGGTGTCTTTCATTAGTCTTGCTTTTGGACTCATCACTAGTGATGACCTGAACGGTTCGCCTCGAACGGTTTGCCACGGACTCATCGTTGAGTAAACTTTGACCCTGTACCTCACAGTCAGCAGACACATTCCAGCCAATCAGCAGCAGACCCTCCCTCCCAGACCCTCCCACCTCCTGGACAGCTCACTAAGAATGCAGCTTCACAATGAATGTAAAATTGATGCTGTCCAGGAGGAGGGAGGGTCTGCTGCTGATTGGGTGGAATGTGTCTGCTGACTGTGAGGTACTGGGTCAAAGTTTACTCAATGATGAGTCCGCGGCGAACCGTTTGCGGTGAACCGTTCGGGACATCACTACTCATCACTCCTCATTATTTTCTGGTACTGATTACTGCTATACCGTGTTTGCATGATTCAATCTTGTTTTGTACTTGATGCATTTCTACAAGAATAGTTGCTTAGCTGGAATCTTAGCAAGACCATCATCTAATGCGATTCTCAAATGAACACTCGTAGAGGTTAATTCCAAATTGAAATCTGAATGACCGAACAAATTTAATCATATTAAATCTAAGCTGTTATCCTTTTCTTCTATTTTTGGACTTTGCATCTGCTGAAAATGCTTGTTTTACCTCTGAGTTAATGAAGAGCGGAGGATGAATTAAAAGGTGCTGATTGTTATTAGATGTTTTGTTTTTTGATAAACTTTTTAGAATATTGAGAAATGTGCAGGAAGAAATATCAAGATTATAATATTTGTGCCCTGAAGTTCATAGTATTAGAAAACCATATATTATACTAAAAATGCAACTATCCAAATTCTGTGGTGATTAAGATGGCCAGGTGTTAAGACCACCACTGAAATAAGATTTTATTTCTTGAAATTGTTGGGATTTGCCTTCTTAATCCCATGTCCTGTTCAACCGTAAATATTTTGATACATGTATTTGAAAAATGCTTCCGCTATGCATTAACAGCCTTAGAAGACCAGAAAGTATGCAGGCCTGCCTTTTAATTTGTCCAGGATCTGACAAATGAAAATCCAATAGGTGATGTCAGAAATCCTATTGAAGCAGAATAAGCTTGTCTGATGGGTCTATGGCTGCCCACAATTCTTGACATTATTAGTTGATCAGCATAGACTGTAAGCTCATTTGAGCAGGGCCCTCTTCAACCTTTTGTTCCTGTAAGTTTTTGTAATTGTGTCATTTTTGTTAAATCTCTCCCTTTGATACTATTGTAAACCCCTACGGAATATGCTGGCGCTATATAAATACCAGTAATAATAAGAATAATCATCGAGCATCTCCAGCCAGCAATCAATGCTACAGGCGAAAACTGCAAAGAAATCTGAACAGGCACATGTTTTTTTTCTAACACACACTTATCATTAATCCTTATCATGACAATAAATTAGATTGTATGTTATTGCTACAACAACTGGAGAGTGCTGATCCATGACCCAGTCTGAACTGGAGTGAGTACTCTGCCCTGTGTGTACATGCACACGCTAACCTTTCTTAAACAAATATAACCTGCAAATATTTGCATGTTCTATGCTCTATATGGGAAGGATTTCAAGATTTGTTAGACAATAAGATGAAAGCTTGATCACTGGTGTGGTAATATTTAGTTTGTGAAAAAAGTGTTGGCCTTTGAACCCTATAAGTAACTACAGCTTTTGTATTCTAAGATCCTCAGCAACCTGTTGGTGAACATAGTGGGACCTTCAGATGAATAACAGGAGATCAAACAATCCTCAAGCCTGTACCATAGAGAGAATTATAATACGATATTATATAGTAAAGACGCTTTGCTGTGGTATAAATGCCCATTATTGAATGGTACAAGTACTCTGTATAGCCATTTGTTACATTATTATGTATATCTACGTGTTAATGTAGACAGTGTAGAAACTTTATAATTTGGCTGCAAACAAATATATAAAGCATGCAGACAGAAGAGGTTTTATCGTTATTTGACCAAGAGCAGCATCAAGAGTTCTCAGCTGGCTTATACCAATTCTGTGCAAATTTGGATGCACAGACACTTGTTCCTTTTCATAGTGCAGTCAGCTGGCACTCTTGCAGTAGTAGTATCAACATTTATCAGTTATATTTTAAACATGTTGTTAAATTAAGTATTACTCAATACAAGGGTACTTTGGTTTTAAATTCAAATGTATATTGAACACATTTTTGTTCTAATTTTAATGTGTTTTTTTTCCATTTTTATTTAATTCACTAAATTCTGGCTTAAAATAAGCAATTTTCTTGCCAGAATTGACATTTCTGTTGCATCCAGAATTCTTGTATTAGTCAATAACCCCTTTACATTTATCCTGCATGTTTAGATGCATAATAGTCTAGTAATACTTGTGTTTTGAAAACAAATCTTAAATATTCTTAAAAAATACTTTCATTATTAAAGGAATTAAAGCAGCATTTAGGTGACTGTTTCCTGAAACATCAAACTTCCATAACTAGTATGCATCACAGTATTTGTTTGCTTATGGCACTTTTAAAAAGTTACTTGCACCTGTTACAATTACATTAGGGTTGACTTACCTTTCTGGATTTATCATTTCTTCTGTTACAAAATTTATATAAAACCTGCAGATAAAATATAAAATTATTAATATTATAATGGTATGTGTAAGATATAAACATTCGCTTGATAACCAAATACAAGATCTGTAGACAAAGAAACAGTTTCCTCCCTCTGTGTCACCCATGTCCTCCCCTAAGCCCACCTTCTCTGACATCTGCTCCCCTTAAGAAAGGGTGAGTTATGTTATTGGAGAAGGACAGCACTTAGGTAGAACTTGTCTTGGCACTGAATCAGAGGTGAGTTTTATCTATTTTAAACTGAAACCATGCTCCCTGCAGGATTTGTCGTCAGGGGGCTGGTTAAAATCATTGGCAGATAGCCTGTGTGTATTCACAGGTGGTTGTATTTTCCCCCCTGCCCCAAACCTGTTTATTGAGGAAATCATACATACTAAGCAGTATACGGAGGATACAACATTGCAATTTTATAAAATATAAGCATTTAATTAACAGAAGTTTTTTTAGTACCACTCCAATGGCCATTTAAGTGTAAGCTCACCTGCCATGCCAAGGCAAACATTTTGCGTAAGTCCTACACAAGCAATTCACCATTAACCAAAAGGCAAAAATCTGTAATGCTAAATATTAAAACATTTTTTGGTCTTTATTATGCAGGGCATCTAATCTGTCTGTGCTGAAGGGTCCTGCAGAAAGTTTTCCCTCATTTTATACTATTATTCATGATTCTTTGATTAATATGAGAAAAATATATATCCAATTTTATCACAGTGTAGTAACAGCAACAAAATTAGGAAATGCCATCCCAACAACCAAATTAGGAAATGTCTAATTGGCCCCATAAGGGGTCATAGTCAAAGAAAAATTACAATAACCCATTAATGTTCCAACGTACCAGCCACTATAGGCAAACATGCCAGAGTAGAATGCAAGTGGGAGTTCTGTCAGTGTCAACGATGTTGTGTCGAACATATTCTGGAAGTTTTCTGTGTGTCCTGTAATAGGGAGATAATGGATACTGGTATTAAGAACTTGTCATACTACTCACTCTTTGTCATGTTTTGTCTACGTTGGTATTGCACATAAGACCTAATAGTCTCTAGTTTGTGTTATGATATATTTTTATTGAAATTCCAATGCGGTCAATATCATATTTCATGTATACATTATTTTTATGAACCACTCAAAAAAGTGCCTAGAGATGACAGAGTGAATCAACAAACACAATGATGATAAGAAACTTAGATCAGAAGAAGGAGATTATCAACAGCTAATCTGACCTAGCATCATATGCATTTTGGGAGCTGTGGAGGATGATATAAAAAATCAGATGGATGTAAAGCTCATTTCTCTCAAGTCTAAAACTCTTGATAAAGTAGCTCTGTCTCATATTTGCTAAGACTCCCAATGGTGACATTGCAGCTTAGTGTGTGGGTCCCTGGGGGGTGCAGTGTAGCTGGGTTACATGTACCTGATGCTTCCCCTACAGGCACGGCCTTCTTTACATTTTCAGCTCCGAGCACTTGATCATCCAGGAGCCCGTGTCAGTGCTGTAATTGGCTCATGCACAAGAGTACAACACTAATGTCTATTAAGGATTCGGCTAGACCACGGGAGCATCCATAGATATATTACCTTGGGATGAGAGAGATAATGCCTTATTCCCAAAGCTAGTAATTGCTGGGGGAAAGTGACAAAACTTGATTGCAGTAGCTAAGCTTTTTGTCAAGATTTGTCAAGCGGAAGATTTACCTTAAGACAAAGTAGTCCCTAATTTGTCTTATGATATGTTTTGAGCATTTCAGAAGTTTATTAGCATTTGAGAATGATTTTATCTTTATGAAATGCTCTGGATTTTTTGGGGGGATGACAGAACTTTAAGTTTAATAATATGGGGGGCTATTTGTTAATGTTGATATGTTGAAAGATGTTTCCAGTTGTTTGTCAAGTCCCTTGGTTGTTGAATTCTATAAAGAAAAATGGCTTTGTGCAATAAATCTTATTTAGGATAATGATTACTGAAACGTGACTGCTTAACCTAGAGTAGAACGCCCTCTTTCGCTGAATGATAAATGACAAAAGTGTGGTAATAGAAAAACAATTTAAAGCTGTGATCATGGGTGTAGTGACCTGTAGGTGGGTTTAGATCTCCACCCAGAAAATTAAAGAATTAGATAAAGGAGAAATGTAGCCCCCCCCCCCCCATCAAACAATTATTATGTCTGACCATACTTTTAGAAACCTACCTGTGGCATTACTGAAAAACGGCAAATATTTTAGTCAGTCTCATTAGGAGTAGGGAAACATCATCACTGCAGAGTTAATTTGCAGATTCTGGATGTGATAAACTCAGTATTAACAAACTATTGTGAAGAGCTCCCCAATCTGAATAGCAGTTTAAATGAACACAATATGATTCCCCTTGGCTCCGTATTTTCGCTTACCCGAACACTGACCACCTCGCTGACTCATTAACTTCAAAAGAAACACTTAACTCAAGTGCTCTCTCTGGGTGCCTGCCACTCATATAACCAAACACAAGTGCTCTAGTAAATGGCAGCCATTTTGTCTCCTGAACGCAGGCAGCGGTACTTGGTCGTCTAGTGCGTAGAACTATATTTTGGATACTTTGCCTTGTGAATCCCGGGAAAATTGTACCATTGCCTGCTCCATTCCCAGGCAAGCCTGGAGAACGCTTTTCAGGGAAAAAACTCTCCCAAATGGGGAGAACATTCGCTCCCTACGAGCCAGAGGGAAACTTAATTCACATTTGCATAGGAACTCCCAAAAGCTGACCGTCCGCTACCTCTTTTCCCCTGGAACTATTTTGGTCAGCAGCCATGTGGGCGGTTGGTCAAAAATTTACCTCGGTGGCGATTCTACATGGTTCTGTGTGCTATTTAGACACCTTGGGCTCTCAGATTCAGGCTATCTGAGGATATAATACTTATGGGGGTTCCTATCGATCTTGTATGTATTTTAGGGTGTTTTATGTGTTATATATTGTACCTCGAGTGCCTGGGAGAAAATTAGTTTAAGCAAAAGCAAACTCACTTATCTCCCAGACACAGAGACAGCTTGGCGGGCTTACCAATGTTTTTGCTTGAAACCCATGCTGGGGCTATGTGTATATAAACAGGCAACCTTTCCATAATAAACCGGCTTGTTTTGTACCTGTCATCAAGTCTCGGCTGATGTTTATGTATGCAGGAATTGTAATCATTGCTTCACTACGTAACCTGGGAGAATCTAGAGCGGAGGTACCACTCTGGGTATAGGCGATCTGATACACACACTGGAGACTGTCTACTTCTGCACAGATTTTTTCCTGCTACCTTGCAGTGCTGACTGTGGGGTAACATGAGAAAGAGACAGGATAAGACTTCTTACCCCCTGTAGTGAAATGTACCGTTCTTTTCATGGATTTTTCTGTTAATACGTTCGAAAGTTATTGTAGCTGTGCACTCTGAATTCGACTGCCGAACGAGGACCACCCCTGTACCCCATTAGAACATTCACACCAGCAACTTAAGTGTGAAACCACAAGGGAAGTAATAATGAATGCTTCCCCTGGGTGGCCGCCATTATGTCTAACCGAATACACATGTTCGGCAAAAGCATGGTGGCCATTTTGTCTCCCGAACGTGGGCAGCGGTACTTGGTCGTCAAGTGCCCGGAACTCTTTCCGGCAAGGCACTCACATGAACCCTGATAAAGATTATAATGCTTTCCATTCTACTTCCCAACCAGCTATGCGAAAGACTTGGGGAGATGAGAACTACCCTCTAGGGGGAGCCTTCGCTCCCCGAAATCAAGAGAATCCCTGGTATGGGGTTTGCACAGGATCCCCTGAACAAACATCATCCTGGGTACCTATTTTCCTGGAACTGTTGTGGGCCATCACCTTGTGTCCAGCTGTTCAAAATTTTACCCCGGTGGAAATCAAATTCTGCCAAACAGATCTGCGTGATACTTGGCCAAGTTGAACACTCAGACCAGGGTTATCCGGGGATATAACTTTTGTGGGGTTCCTGATGATATTGGGGGAACTTTTGGGGGATTGTATATGTTGTGAATATTTTCCTGTAACTGGGAGATAATTGAGTTATAGTTCTCTCACTCAATTATCTCTCAGGCACAGATGCTCTTGGGAGGAAAAACCCTGTAATGTTGTGTTGGAGCCCTATACTAGTGGTCAGTGTATAAAAGCTGTGTGTGGCCAAAATTAAATCAGTTGACTCCCAGAAATATGTCTCGTCATGTTACTGGGGGAATGGATGCTTGAGTGTTTAACGGTTCAAGTCTGGCTGAGAGGAGGAATACGCAGAGATAACCAGTTGGGTTACCCGGGGTCCGCTACACCCCCAATTCCTCTGTGAAGTACTGTTCATACAGATAACTATGCAGGACAGTAACATGGACAAATAACATGGACAGTTAGCCAGTGCTGTGTCAGAGCTTCCCAATGCAATGAAAGATTTTCCCTGCTCAGCCCTGTGCTCCCTCACTTAGCTGATGGAGCGTTATGGTCTGTACTAATATCAGATCCTCCAGTACTTCTCATTGACTAGGATCACTGCAGCCAACACCCTGATTCATTGATTGAATTCCAAAACCGCGAGGGTGCTCGTAAAGTGCTCTGTTCCTGATATTGGAGGAGGCGACGGAGCTCCTCTACTGGACCACCTGGGAGCCAGCTCATTTTCCACTGGATCACAAGGAAAAGTAAGTGGGGAGTTGGGGGGAGGGGAGGGGAGGGGGGGAAACCATACACAGATTACTGAAACCCGGCACACACTTCAGCCACTATACACACAACACAAGCAAGACACAAAGCCTCCTTTCATACAGCTCTCACCCTCCTCCACACATAGAAACACTTAGAACTGCACACACTGTCACACTCAATTAACACACACCACTCACAGAAAGAGAACCAAGGCTTCTTAAAGTGGGCCTTAATCTTGCACCCTGCCCATGGCACTGGGCAACCTTAACTCAGCTCTGAAGAGTATAAATAGTTTTTGCGAATCATTTATATATAATGAGAAGAGTATAATAATAGGTATGTGAATCATATTACACATATATTATATGCTGGTGTGAAATAAAGTCGGTGTGTAAATGACATATGCATAATGCATGTTTTGGGTGTAAATGTATAAATGGTGATGTGGCGGTAATCACCAGCACTGGCGGCTGAAGACAGACACTTTAGTGAAGTCCCCAGATTACTATTATGTTTTAGTCATGCTGTGCCCATTATAGGTATAGGGTGTGTAATGTATTTGTTTGTAAATTATTCTCCTTCCCCCGCTTTCCTGTTTGTTTTCCCATTGTTCCAGAGACCCCTTTCATCTCCTATAGAGTATTATGTGTGCTTTAGGAGTTTTCTTGTACTATGGAATATAATTGTGCTAGTAGCGTGTCTGTGTGTATAATGGGTAAAATAGAAGGGAAGTCAATTAGTTTATTATACTCCTATATAAACCTGTGGTTCATGTAATAAAACCAGTTCTTGTTCACCCTTCACTAAGTCTCAGCTAGTGTTTGAGTGAGACAACTATACAGCTATTCATTCTGCATGAGAGCTTGATCACTTGGAGTTTTTGCACAGGATCCTGTAACAGGGTGGGAAACTCCGGATACACCCCAGTCAAGCTGCGGCTACTGGGGTCTGGAGCGCTATGGGTGTCCTGGTTTTAGCTAGGAAGTGTGCTTGGCGGAGGTACCCAGCTAGGGTACCAGGCGGTCTGTCACAGATGCATACACAATATGTGTGTATTTGTAGCACTGTGTTTTTCTGACTGTTTTTTTATCCCCCACCACTCTCTACATGGAATCAGAACACACAACAGACCTATGCATTGGTTTAATGCATCTCTATGAGTGTATGCAGATTGGCACAACTCCAAATCATATTAGAATTTCTTCTCTCTCTTTGAGGGAAGAGGAGGGCTGCTCCATTCCCCCCTTTCCTTCTTTTCGCTTTAGAGTCTTATGATGGACTGAGAACAACAGAACTTACAAACAATACTTGAAACACCTAATTGCTTACTATTCTTCCTATATATTCTTAAGTCCACATTTTTTGTTTTCCACTCCTCATTTTACCTATGATATTCCTGGATCCATTGAATCTTGAAAAAGTACATAAGTTACGAAACACGTTCATTTGTGGTCTTCTACACCACCTATGTGAGTATTTAAGTTATTACTATTTACTTTATGTGATGAAATGTTTTTCATATTTTTTAAATAAAATAAATAATGTTTTAATAGATTGGCAACAGTATCTTTTTGACAATAGGACACAAAGTAAAAAAAAAAAAAAGTAAAAACAAAAAAAGAATAAAGCAATAATGTACTTGTGTTCCAGTGCCAAGGCTAAGTTCTCCCTAAAACTTGATCCTCCTCCATTGATGTAACTTCCCCTCACATTTTTTTTGCATTCAGATCTCATACCAGCACTTTTTATGTATAGTTGTAATCAAAATTATTCAACCCCATTTTTTTTTTAAAGCAGCTGAACTGAAATAACAGCATGCTCTCACTTCTCTGCACCAAAAGGCCAATCTAATTTTCGAGGCTCCAACTATTGCCATGGGTACCCCAAATGGATGCCCAGGCAGGCAACAACACCATGGATCAAAAGACCAAGAAGCCGCAGTCTGATAAGCCAAGGAGTATGAACATAAGAGATGTCTGGTGACAGGCTCATAGCGCCATGGATCCCAAGATGGTCACCTTCACTGAAAACAACTCTGATATCTCTGATGATTTCTTGATATGGGTGGCAGAGAAACATTTACCTGCACTATCAGCCCCCAGGCCAACTCCTTCTCTAACTGACTTGTTCCCAGTCATGGCGGCGGTCTTAAAGCAATTGCAAGTGGGCCTCCAGCATATGATACAAGCCAATATGGTCCAAATACGTCAAGACCTGTGTAACAAAGCTGCAATACTCTGACTGGGTATATCTGCCAAATATCCTCAAAGCTTGAAGAAGCACTCTTTAGTGAATAGCTCTCTACCCCCTGTAACTAGACGACACATAATTCTGGGAGTACAACTGTTTTTATTGAGCCGAATGAAGCCTTTTATGCATAGACCCCCAGCATGGGATCTCTATTCAGTACATACAGTGCCCGCCCAGGCGCCTCTGTGTCTGAGGGATAATGGAGTTGTTGATCGCTAAACCAAGTATCTCCCGGATACAGAGTGCCAAACACAAACATAACTGAAAAACATAATAAAAACACACAGGAATCCCACATATTATGCATCCCTGGATAGCTCTGGTTCGAGCGCCCATGTTGGCAATATAGCGCCCGGATCCATGAAGAATTGTCCAATCACGACCGGGATAAAGTTTTGACAGGCCGCATATGAGGACCAAGCCCAAAATAGTTCAAACGTAATTATGGCTAGGGTCGTTCAAATAGTGGAAGTTCCTGCGGTCCAGTGAAAGGGTTCGTTCAAATTAGTCTGTAGAACCTTCCCACCAATTAGCACTCTCCTGACAGGTTAACAAGTGGAGTAAAACCATGGATTAAGGTGACTGGGAACCCACGAGGTGCAGTGGGCGTGTTCGGGTTACAGAGGGTTTGTGGCCAAGTCCCGCTGGAGTTTTGTAGCCAAATGACCGCCAGTGTGAGGCGCTTTTGGCAGTAAATGTTTGGGAGAAGGGAAGGTACTGAATCGGGGGTAGTAAACAGCTCTTTTGGGGAAAAGATACAGGTACCAGGACAGGGTCTGCCACAACCTGCGAGGCCTGACAGGCCAGATGGTAAGACACCCGCCAAAATGCGCCAGCGCTAATGCAACAAGCAATACACAAGCTGCAATAAGCAGCAAACCAAAACAGAACTAATGTTCGCTGCAATTGAGGATCAAAGCCAAAGATTAAATCTCAAGTTCAGGGGGTTACCCGAGGAGACACCTGATGCAGATCTACCGCATTTGGTATGAAGACTCCTGCTGTCACTACTACCACCCAAACAGGTGAAGGCGGTGGAAATAGAAGGGGTGTTTAATTTTTCGAAACCAGCCATGCCACCATCCTCGACACCTTGACTTGCTCACCTGAATCCAGAGGCCCAGAGACAAAACGACTGTCCTGAATGCGGTACGACATTACCTTACTGTTCTCTAAAGATTTATTCTCATTCCCCCTGGTTCGGTACCTTCTCTACTACCAAACGTACTACCGAACGCATGCTCCCTGGCAGATGGTGGCCATTTTGTCCACCGAACAACCCCAGCGGTAGTTAGCCGCAAACCCTGTGGAACTCTATATGGCCACTGGACCATGTGGGTGCCAGTCACTTATTACCTTGTTTTGTCCACTTGCCAACCTGCCAGGAGGGTGCTATTTGGAGGGAAGGTACTACAGGCTCTTGAGAACAATCGCTACCAGAGAACCATGGGAAGCGCCCTTTCGTTTGACCACAGGAGCTCCCGAAGTTTAACTGGCCAAGATCACTTTTCCTCTGGAACTGTTTTGGGCTTTGCCCAGGGCTCGAGTCCTGCAGGAACTCGTGGGAACGTCGTTCCTGCACTTTTTCCACGACAGGAACACCGTTCCCATTATTGGTCCTCCAGGACTTGTTTGCCTGCGAGGCAAACAAGGCATTTGCCTTGTTAGCCTCACTGGCAGCGAGGGAGCGCTGATCTTTGAGCTCTCCCTGCTCAGCTCCCTCGCGCGCCGCAGAGTCATATTCTGGCCCCCTGCTTCACTCTGCGGTGCACGAGGGAGCTGAGCAGGGAGAGCTCACAGATCAGCGCTCCCTCGCCGCCCGCCTGGACCACAGCAGCCCCACTGGACCCCAGGTAAAGAAAGAGCTAGGTGGATTTAAAAAAAAAGTGTGTGTGTGTGTCCCTACCACTTCACTAACCCCCTACCCTCTCACAGCACCTACTCTCTCACAACCCCCCTACCCTCTCACAGCCCCCCTACCCACACCATCTCCCCGCAACGTCACAGCCCCCTCACACACCCTGTCACCTCTCCACACACACACCCTGTCATTCCCCCCATCCACGCACCCTGTCACCCTCCCACACACACACTCTATCATCCCCATTCACACTGACACCACTTCCATACAATATCCCCAATTACTTTCAGCCTGCACACACTGTCACCCCTTCACCCAGCTATATATATGCATACGAGCATATAATAAAGCCTGGAGAAGTCAATATAAGCTTTTCAGTTGAATTTGGAGAAACCACTTGAAGCATTCTTTTTTGTGGAGCTCTTTCAATTGTTTTTATTTGATTTGATCATTGCAAACAGCTGGAAGTCTGTAAATGTTGACAATAACCCTAACTTTTAAAGGGACACTATAGTCACCTGAACAACTACAGCTTAATGTCACCTAGCAGACGGCCACTAGAGGTAGAGTTAACCCTCATGGTTGTAAGATAGGAAATGCCTCTGAAGGACCATTTTAAACAAAAAATAAATAGCCTGGCTAAGCTTTCTAATAAAGCAGTTGGCCAAATTGAATAGAGGACTGTGCCCAAATAAACACAATCCCCTTGCGATGTACTACACTTCAGTAATGTAACAATAAGATGTTTTCAGTGCAATGCCAATTTTTATACCCCACAAAATGCAATGCTTGATGAGAAAATATTTGTAATTTTCTTGCCCTTGGAAAATAACATAATGTATAACATATTCACTTCTTTTAACATCCAGTTTTGTTCCTTACCATTCCCTAGAGCGATGATCCCAGGGACTATTATCAACCCAACTGCAACCAACTTCAGTACTGTAAATAACATCTGCACATTTGCTGACCAGCTGACACTCCAACAGTTCAGGGCAATGATAAATGCTGAAGTAAGAAGAGATTTTATTTGCATAATTATTACCTTGTGGTAGATTAATGTTGTGTAATAACTTGGTTTACTTTTACTTACTTTTATAACTCATTACCTTGTTCAGACAAATTCATTTTATAAAAATTATACGTTTCTTTACACTAGCAGTTTAGAATATGTTTACCAAATCTGACAAGTTTCCCTACATTGCGCCAAGAAATAATAGTTTTGAGTTACTTACTGATACAAATGACACTAATCAGTTTGACAGTCACAGAAGGTGCATGACAAGGAGCAAAAAAGGGCTCTATTAAATAGCGCCCAAATGCTAAACAGCCAACCGCTATGTTTGCTGGCCTGGAAATACAAAAAAAGGGTACATTAGCATCATTCGCATTCCACTTTTAAAAAAAAGATAGATCATAAATACAATATACAACGATTTTGCAAATTCTAAACCATAAACATTTCTGAACAAAAGTGGTTGCACAGATAGGATTGCACTTTGCTTTGTGTAAATAGAAAAAAAAACCACTTTGTAAACATTTGGTAATTTGAGAAATATTTACCGAATCATGACAAATTCTGCCCATAGCCGCAAGAATGCAGGCACAGGACCCAGAGTCTCCAGCAAATAGATGTAATGTCCTCCAGACTTTTTGATAGTGGTGCCAATATCAGCATATGACAAAGCACCTACAAATATTCATAAACCAGGAGTTAATAATTAGTGTCTGAGAGAACAAAAAAAAAATCACCTTCGCTTCATAATAAGGTAATGGAAGATTCCATTACAGCACCCACCTAGAGTCCCATGTGCCTACAATGTTGCCATATGGCAACGGGAATATGATGGCTATAATTGGTAATCAGATGCTTCGGAAGCCACAATGGGGCTATGCATGACTGCCAGCTTGTGTAGCTCAGTGGGGCTAATCTCAAGAGGTAGGCAATTACCTAGCGCCCCTGCTTTGCAAAGAATTCTCACTGAGCTGCATTTGGAAGTCTGTTATTGGACAGCCACATAAAGTCTGAGCTAGGGAAGAAAATGAGAGCTTTTCTTGGTGTGAGACAAGATATCTGCAGCTTTTGCAAGCTGTTTTTAAGATAAACCCCAATGTAAAAATGGATAGTTAAATACATGCATGTACAATCACACCATAGGATTTCCCCGCCATGCAGCTGGCATGCCCACTGCTGAGATCCAGCGCTATTTATTAGGCCAGCCACGTGGAACGGTTTTCATCCTCTAAACCTGTCAAAACTTGGCCTTGGCTAAGAGGGGTTTCCAGTGCAGACTTGGGATCAAGATGCTATTTGCACAGATTGGGCGCTTGGGGATGAGCTATCTAGGGATATTATATGTGTGGGGGTTCTCAATTTTTTTAATGTGACTGCATTTGTGTTAGGCCTTTTTCCTCTCCTCCCTCTCCTATGTGTTTTACCTGCCAGTGTTAATTTTGGCAGGTTTTTCCTGTGATAACTGTATTAGCGCCTCTGTGATGGGCATTCATTCAATTAAACGATTTGCCTGGGCAGGATTACTACATTGTCAGATTCCATGCTGGGGGTCTGTGTATATAAACCTGTACTTTCCTCAACAAAGTGTTCACTATTGGCAGTTTTAACACTATAGGGTCAGGATTACATGATTGTGTTCCTGTCCCTGTAGTGTTCCTTTAAATATAACAGGTGAACTTATTATGCTTAGGCTTGCTTAAAAGTTTGAAAACTTACTTGAACATCAGATGGATGGACATCTATTACATTAACACAGCTCAAAAAAGTTTTTAAAAAAAAAAGGTTGGTGGCTGTTCTATTTCTCTCTCCGCTGTAAATATCATTGAAGTGTTCCGAGACATCAAGTTTATAATGGAGAAAAATATGAAATATCCTTTTAAGTAAAACTTTGCATGCCCCCCTCAGCCACCAGACCCCCAACAGCGATGTCATTTTTGGGGGTCTTTGCAAATGATGCAATATTCCCAGACAGTGATAGTTCCACTTTAAAAACAAAAGCAAAATCAAACATGTCACACCTCATAACTTGCCCTTAGCTATTGAGTTAGGCAAAAATCCCAGAGGTTTCTGTTACAAGAAATTTGGCAGCCACAGAATAATTGATCTAAAAACAGCTGTTTGTCCAGCAAATTAAAAAAAAAACAGCAACAATTCATTTGGGTTTTTACAGAATTAGACACATATCTAAGATTTTCTGTAATGTGGTATTTATTTCCAGTAACACACTTAGAAAACAAAGAAACAATACCTTTGTGATATTCTGGCCAGAAAGTAACCACGCTTATTTATATAAAGTGGGTCATATCCATGCTTATCATTAAAAAGCAGTTATTAACCATGGTTAATACCAACAGCCCACATATGTTTGAGGCTAAAAATATAGACAGACTTTCTTGGTCCCTCCTGCACTTAATGGCTGTGTACTGCTCAAGTTGGCCTCCACTGATAACATCCTCCACTTAAGGTTTGTTTCCAATGTTGTAACTAAGTGCTACTAAAAGCGTCTTAAATGGAGGACACTAACATTGGCATCTAGTGGCTCTTTCCATACTACAAATGAAATTTTGATTTGTTTTATTTTTTCTAACTATAAGTATAGAATATATTGAATGTTTGCATTCATTTTTTTCCTCTTTATGTCTAGACAAATGAGAGTTTTGATCGTGTGGTAATTTTTGCATTTTATTTTGCAAACCTGCTGTTACTTAGCATCTATTCAAAAATAAACATTACAACTTTTGGAAGCCTCATTTGTACTATTTATAGAAGTAGTAATCATTAAGTTCTGGTGATTACTGACTTGGCATTAAATAATTGAAACTGTCATGGATCAATATGTACTAGTGCCATACAATGTGTCCTCCCTGTACACATCTATCCTACATGAAAAGGCTGTAACATCTCATTCAGTTATCTGAATAGGAGAGAAAAATGTACTAAAGAACATGTGGATTTTAAATAATGCATTTTTTTCAATTCTTTATCGCTAGCAGCACAAAAGCTCTTTCATTGCTAGCAGCACAAGAACTCCTCTGAAAGGCACATCAACTTATTTAACTTAATTACGTAAGTAATTTTTCTGAATATACTCACCAAACATAGAAAGGATGCCACAGGCCACCCATACAATAAGTGAGAGGCCCACACTGCCAGAATGTTTAAGAACCCCTTTTGGTGAGATGAAGATTCCACTTCCAATTATGGTTCCAATCGTCAGAGAGATGGCTCTGAGTAACGTGATCTTCTTTCGCAGATATACTGCTTCATCTTTCTTCTCTGGAGGGTCTTTGGAAAGCCCCATTTATTTTAGAAGATAAGGAATGGCCTAGAAGGAATTTTTGCACTATATGTTGCAAGTAACAGGGGTAGACACTTTCTATTCCCCTCCTGTCTGCAACACTCTTCCTTTCCCTCTTTTCCCCTCTGCCTGTTGAACTCTTTAACAAGAACTGTCCAGCAAACAATCCAAAATATTTTCTACTCAGTAAAAAAAAAAAATTCTCTTGTTTTCCCAGCCGCTGAATACAGCCCCTCTGTTGTAAGCAGAAGGTTCAAGGGTTCAATTCTCCTGCTCAGCAGGGTCTACACACTCCTAAACAAAATTATGGGACAACAGCAGCATAGAACATGTGTGACTGTGTGTGTATGTGTGTATTAATAGCTGTTCGCATGTATACATAACATAAGGAAGCACCTACACAAGCAAGTAACCTGCTGCTTGCAATTTCTTTAGTGCAAACTTTACTCTGTTATCATGTGTGGCAATTTCACAGTTGGCTAATCACACACTACTGCATGATTGATGCCTATTGCAAGTGCAATGCACGAAGGTATAGTGATTAACAGAAAAATAGCATTTAAAAATGGACTCTCATGTCTCTTGATTGCTACTTTACTGGTGTATGGTTATTAAAACTTTCTTTAAACACATACTAAAGAAACACTGACCTTAATATATATATATATATATATATATATATATATATATATATATATATATATATATATTTAAATAAAATTGTTACATTTTTGTTACAAAATTGTTACAACAATTAAGGGGTAATACATCAATTGTAATATTACTTGCTGATAAGGGTGGGGGGGAGTATTTTGATCCAAAATATTGAGGATTATGTAAAGGTATGTTGTAGGCAATTAAATAACAAAGAAGAATTTAAAAAAGAAGAGAAACATCTATAGGTGTTAGACCAAAATCCAACCCTATAGACAAGTGGCCGCAATTTCTATGGACAACCAACGAGGTGGTGGCCATCTTGTTTTCATGTACGCAGTCAGCAGTGTTTGGGCATAAATCTCATGAAACTTAAATAGGACACAGAAACTCCCGAACACCGCTGAACTTCCATCATCGCCTCCGTTCGGTTCTATATAGCTTATAAGAGCAGTGTTCGGTGAAATCATTCATCTGGATGAGGGGAACAAGCTCCAGGGTAAGAACATTGACTCTGTTGGGTAGTTTGTTCATTTTCAAACTACTGAACTAGATCGACCGCAAGCCCAGATTCTCTGGAACTGTTTTGGGCATTACTTCTAGGAAATTCCTGAACCCCTGAACTGATCTGGGTGATTTTTGGATATGTTGGTCACCCAGATCAGGGCTATCAGGAGATGTAATTTGTGGGGATTTTATGTGTTTTGGGGTACTTTTGGGGTTTTATAAAACTTGTGTTTTTTGTGCTTGGAAATAATTGAGTTACTACAGTATCTGACTCAATTATATCCCAGGCAGAGGGGAGGGATTGTATGTTTGTATATGGGAGTGTCGTGCCTTATGACATGGTTGTTATTGGTCTGTGACTTTGTGTTGTAGTCCCCCACAAGGTTCATGTGGGAGTGCCCCTTGCATGGGGACTTGCATAAAAGGCCAGTGTGGCCCCATTAAATTGAGTTCCAGTTTACCCTCCACACAGAGCCTCACCTCGTGTTTGAGGGAACCGCTATACCTGCTATAATCCCTGCATCTGAGATTGTTCTTTGGATTGCTATAATCACTAGCTCTTATAAGAGCTGTTCCTGCTATACTGTCTGGAGTAGGAGAGGTCTGCCCACTGGAAGCTGGATCCTGGTCTTTGGTCTAGGGTGGGTGGAGAACGGCAAGACCCCATGTAAACTGTTACGCTGGAAGTAGGGACTACAGTGCTGATGGTGTCTGGTGGAGTGCTTGGAGTCCTCGGAGAGCATTAGGAGCTTCGATTGGCGGAGGCACCGGGTCGGGGTGCCAGGTGGTCTGTCACACAGACTAGGTAGGTTGATAGGGCTTGACCCAAAATGTAATAAAACAAAAATAGATTTAAGAAAAAGTCTCCAGCTGCAAAAGAAATAAAAACCTTTTTAAAAAAGGGGCTTGATTAGGGAAAAGTTGTAAAAACGGAAGGGTGAAAAGAAAATTTTAAGATCAGGGGTTGATTGGATGAGCCAATGATATTAATTAAGGAGGTATCACGTATTTCACAGTAATTGTTTGGATTGTTTGAACTCCTTCATTTAGTTACAAACTTACTAATTCCCCTTCCAATCAGTGTACCAATTGTAACCACTCAAGACTTTGTTACTAAAATAGGTTAAAATAGTAATCCTGGATCTGAGTCAAAATCGGAAATTAAGATTTTAGAGGGGATTAATACAGTTCCAGAGGACTTCCCTATTAGAATTCATAGATAAGTAATAGAAAAATACTCTCTAGAGGATAACTTAAAGAAAGAAAAGCTTATATTTACATTTGAAGTATTAGATATAGTTAGAGTATTAGAGTTTTGAAGTTTATAATGTGCAGCCTCAGCCAAGTCAGTGTGTATTTTAAACCTAGACTTACATCATAACTGGAATGCTAGCACATTTCAAGTATCATAGAATTAATCCAAAACAGAAACAGTCTACTATCTCACAGATATTCTTGGTATCTGAGGCTACATTCTGCAGTAAAGCTCACGCCAGTAAAGACTTTATTGAGCAATCGATCGCTGACTGGAATACTAGGAACTAAACCAGAATCTGCCACTATTAGGATACCATAAATGATTGTACATTCATATTTATAATAGAGGACCTCTCACACATACACACATATATATATATATATATATATATATATATATATATGTATCCACTAAATGGTCAACAGAAAAAGAAAACAGAAAAAGAGAGAGAAAAGAAAGGTAGGAATCAAAGAAGTCACCCTGCATTCTTTTTAAGGGGAGGGCATAGGGGGTTAGATCTTACTAAATGCAGTCCAAAAGTAGATAACTGTCACTTAGAAGTCCCCGACACCAGGGAACACTGAGACACCAGGGGACACTGAGAGACATGGGGGCACTTGTGGATACAGACATGGGGACACAGACACTAGGGACGCAGAGACATGGGGAAACAGACACTGGGAGACATGGGGACACAGACACTAAGAGACTTGGGGACACTGAGAGACTGGGGACACTGGCTGGGAAGCATGGGGACACTGAGACACATGGGGATACTGGGAGACATGGGGACACTGAAAAATATGGGAGCACTGGGAGACATGGGGACACTGAGACACTAGGGACTAGTGATGTCGCGAACACGAAATTTTCGGTTCGCGAATGGCGAACGCGAACTTCCACAAATGTTCGCGAACCAGGCGAACCGCCGTAGACTTCAATGGGCAGGCGAATTTTAGAACACACAGGGACTCTTTCTGGCCACAATAGTGATGGAAAAGTTGTTTCAAGGGGACTAACACCTGGACTGTGGCATGCCGGAGGGGGATCCATGGCAAAACTCCTATGGAAAATTACACAGTTGATGCAGAGTCTGGTCTTAATCCATAAAGGGCAGAAATCACCTAACATTCCTAAATCACAATGGATATGGATTGATACCTGACATATGACATATTGACACAGAGCAGAATAGGGACTGTTCCCCCTACATAGGGTCACTTGGCAGGTATGGATTGACACCTGTCCTCAGAGACCATGATACACACTGACACAGAGCAGAATAGAGACTGTTCCTCCTACATAGGGTCACTTGGCAGATATGGATTGACACCTGTCCTCAGAGACCATGATACACACTGACACAGAGCAGAATAGAGACTGTTCCCCTACATAGGGTCACTTGGCAGATATGGATTGACACCTGTCCTCAGGGACCATGATACACACTGACACAGAGCAGAATAGAGACTGTTCCCCCTACATAGGGTCACTTGGCAGATATGGATTGACACCTGTCCTCAGAGCCCCTGATACACACTGACACAGAGCAGAATAGAGACTGTTCCCCCTACATAGGGTCACTTGGCAGATATGGATTGACACCTGTCCTCAGAGACCATGATACACACTGACACAGAGCAGAATAGAGACTGTTCCCCCTACATAGGGTCACTTGGCAGATATGGATTGACACCTGTCCTCAGAGACCATGATACACACTGACACAGAGCAGAATAGAGACTGTTCCCCTACATAGGGTCACTTGGCAGATATGGATTGACACCTGTCCTCAGAGATCATGATACACACTGACACAGAGCAGAATAGAGACTGTTCCCCTACATAGGGTCACTTGGCAGATATGGATTGACACCTGTCCTCAGAGACCATGATACACACTGATACAGAGCAGTATAGAGACTGCTCTCCTACATAGGGTCACTTGGCAGATATGGATTGACATCTGTCCTCAGAGATCATGAAACACACTGACACAGAGCAGAATAGAGACTGTTTCCCCTACATAGGGTCACTTGGCAGATATGGATTGACACCTGTCCCCAGGGACCATGATACACACTGACACAGAGCAGAATAGAGACTGTTCCCCCTACATAGGGTCACTTGGCAGATATGGATTGACACCTGTCCTCAGAGCCCCTGATACACACTGACACAGAGCAGAATAGAGACTGTTCCTCCTACATAGGGTCACTTGGCAAATATGGATTGACACCTGTCCTCAGAGATCATGATACACACTGACACAGAGCAGAATAGAGACTGTTCCCCCTACATAGGGTCACATGGCAGATATGGATTGACACCTGTCCTCGGAGATCATGATACACACTGACACAGAGCAGAATAGAGACTGTTCCCCCTACATAGGGTCACTTGGCAGATATGGATTGACACCTGTCCTCAGAGCCCCGGATACACACTGACACAGAGCAGAATGGAGACTGTT